AATCCCTTAACAGATAAATGATTTTCAGATATCTTCTCCCCTTCCATGGGTTTCCTTTCATTCTATTGACCCAGTGCCCTTTGAGGCAAAAAAGGAATCTTGATGTTCAGTTTATTAATTTTTTTCTCTTGTTGCCTATGCTTTTGGTGTCATACCCAAGAAATCATTGCCCAGTTGAAAGTCATGAAGCTTATCTCTTGTCTTTTCTTCAAAGAGTTTAATAGTTTAACTAATCTAACTGGTCTTTGACCCATTTTTAGTTAATTTTTGCATATGGTATAAGCTAAGGGTCCAATGTCATTCTTTTTTGCATATGGCTGTCCAGTTTTTCCAAAACAAGTTGCTGAAAAGCATGTCTTTTCCCCATTGAACAGTCTTGTCATCCTTGTCAAAAATCATTTGACCAAATATCAAGAGTTTGTTTCTGGGTTCTCTATCCTATTCCATTGGTCTATATGTCTGTCTTTTTACCAGCAGCTTACTGGTTTTTATTAATTTATTTTTATTATTTTTTTATTTTGAACTCTTTTAGGTCATAGCAAAGTTGAGCAGAAGAAACAGAGGTTTCCTGTATATTCACTGCCTCTACATAGGCACAGCCTACCCCACTATCAAAATTCCACATCAGAATGGCACATTTGTTATAACTGACGAACTTACATTGACACATCATTATCACCCCAAATCCATACTTTATATTAGGATTCACTCTCGGTATATGTTCTGTGGGTTTAGACAAATGCGTAATGGCATGTGTCCACGATTATATCCTAATGAGTATCACTGCCCTCATGTTCCTCTGTGTCCTACCTATTCATCCCTACCTGACCCCTTACTCTTGGAAACCACATATCTTTTTATTCTGTGGTTTTGCCTTTTCCAGAATGTCACATAGATGGAATCATACAGTAAGTAGCTTTTTCAAGTGGGCTGTTTCACTTAGAAATACACATTTAAGATCCTTCCTTGTCTTTTCAAGGCTTGATAGCTCATTACTTTTTAGTGCTGAGTAATATTTCATTGTCTGGATCTACCAGAATGTATTCATCCATTCACCTACTAGAGAACATCTTGATTGCTTCCAAGTTTTGGCAATCATAAATAAAGATGCTATAAACATTCATGTACATTTTTTTTTGTGGACATAAATTTTCAATTCATTTGGGTAAGTATCAAGGAACACAATTGCTGGATCATATGGTGAGAGTATGTTTAGTTTTATAAGAAACTGCCAAACTGTCATCCACAGTGGCTGTGCCATATTGTGTTCCCACCATCAATGAATAGAGAGTTCCTATTGTTCCATATCCTTTTCAGCATTTGGTGTTGTTTATGTTTTGGATTTTGGCTACCCTAATAAGTGTGTAGTGGTGTATCTCATTGTTGTTTTATGCACTGTTTTGACTACTACAGCTCTGTTATAAGCTTTACCATTAGGACGTGTGATACCTTCAACACTGTTCTTCCTTTTTGAGATTGTTTTGGCTATTTGGGGTTCCTTGAGTTGCCATATGAATTTTAGGAGGAATTTTTCCTCTTCTGAAAAAGAAAAAAAAAGCTTTGGGATTTTTGTAGGGATTGCATTGAATTTGTAGATTGCTTTTGTTAGTACCGACATCTTAACAATATAAAGTCTTCTAATGCATGAACATGGGATATCTTTCTACTTATGTGTGTTTTTAATTTCTTTAGCAACATTTTGTAGTTTTCAGTGTACAAGTCTTTTGCTTCTTTGGGTAAGTCAGTTCCTAAGTATTTTATTCTTTTTGATGCTGGTGTAAATGGAATTGTTTTCTTAATTCTGTTCTTGGACTGTTCATAGTATATAAAAAAACAACTGATTTTTGTGTACTGATTTTGTATTCTATAACTTTGCTGATTTCATTTATTATTTCTAACAGTTCTGCGTGTTTGCATGTGTGTGTAACCTTTAGGGTTTTCTATATAAAAACGTCATCTTCCAACAGAGATAATCTTATATCTTTCTTCTCAGTTTGGATGCCTTTTATTTCTTTTTCTTGCCTATTGCTCTGGCTAAAACTTCCAATACTATGTTGAATAGAAGTAGGTATCTTTGTCTATTTTCTGATCTTAGAGGAAAAGCTTTCAGTCTTTCACCATTGATTGTGATGTTAGCTGCTTAAGCAGTTTTTAGAAAGATCTTAAAAAGAGGTGAGATTATGAAGTTCTGGGCCCTATTTAAAATTGTGTTCTTAGCACCTAGCACATGGCCTGGCACATAACAAATGAATGGATTCTTAAAAGGGCAGTTTTTCAAAACTGAATGAACTAAAGGCATTTCTGAATGAGGGTTGACTGGGGATTCATGAGGGTGGCATGGATTGAAAGGCAGTCATAAGGGTGGTAAGAGTCCTCAGTTGCCGACTGACATGGAGCAGGTGTTGCTCCCATACTTCAGGCTTAGATCTTGGTAAACTTCGGTTGGATAGTCTGCTTTAGAGAAACCTCCCTGGTTAAGTTATTTTTTTCCTTCGCTATATTAGTACTTAACAGCTGTAAGAAAATAACCTATGTTGTATCTCTTTGTATTTGTGATTACTAAATTAATAACTTCAGTCCATTGGATGCAAAGTAAATAAGTGAAATGCTGTAAATTATAGATAGAAGTTGTTAATGCTAATAGCGTGCGTAACATATGCCTCACTTTGGCACAGCTCTGAAATAATGTGAATGATTTAAAGGGCTTGAGTCTGTTTGCCTTCATTCTAATTTGGAATAGTTGGAAAGCATTGAGTCACCACCATTTCATTAGTAATGCTGTGTTCTGCCTTTGCAACTTGGCCCTCTCAACTTGGAGTAGATAAGAACTCTGATTAACTATA